AAATGATGTCGAATCGACGTTGAAACGACCGACGTGGAATCGACATCGACACCGGCGAATTGACGTCGATTTGACATCATTTCGACGTCGATCGACGAATCATTTCCCACTGGGTGGTCGGTACGCGTCGATATCGCGTGATCGGTACGCGTCGGTACGCGTCGGTACGCGTCGAGAGTCTACGGGATGGCGTTGTACCTCAACACCTTTCTGTACTTACAGTTACTGTACTTAACCAGAGAAATGCACTTTCTGTAGCAGTGGCAGAGGCAGTGGTATGTAAACACAGCGAAAGAGATTTCGTATGTACGTTTCGGCGATGCAAATCTGAAACGCTTTCGTGCGTTCAGTTTACGAATCGCCTTTGCTGTGCGTACATACAAATTAAATGTGGTTAGTTTCTTGTCGTGAAGTGAGTGCTTGTTGTGTCGCGATTGACAGTCCTTGGAAGAAACACGTGTGTGGTTGTCTTTCAAGGATTATTAGTCGCCGAATGATTAATCGATAGCGATTAATAATAGTGATAAACGTGTGTGTTCCAAGTGTAAGTGAGTGAGTGAGTGAGTGAGTGAACCGGAGAGAAGCTGATCGCAACGTGCAACGGCCACCCCACGAAAGAGCCCGCGCCTGACTGTGAGTTGCGCCGCCCCTGCCTGCCTCCTGTACGTGTGATAGGGTAACAATTTTTATTTATATCTAGAAAAATAAGCTTTTACCACTTCCGCTTCCGGCGCGATTGTGGTGACAGGCAAGCGACGGACAGTAGCGATAAAGTTAGGTAGTGTGTGAGAGAGAGTGAAGGGACGAGTGTGAGAGTGAGAGGGCGAGAGGGTGGAGGAGAGAGAGAGTGAAGGGCCGAATAGGGAGAATAAGGGGAGGAGCGAGAGAGAGGAGAAATAAGACGAAAGACACGAGCAGGTAAGGCATAGAGTACGAGGTAGGATAGACGCGCGCGCGATAAACAGACACGGGAGAGAGACGGGCAGAGAGGCAATAGCATAGATAGAGAGGGGACTAAGCGGGAGAGTAGAGGAACGGGCGGATACGCAACGGAAGGGAGGGAACACGCAGGAGGATGGAAGATAAGGAAAAGGATAGGATAAAAATAATAAGAAGGGAAAGGGGGAGAGGCGGGAGCATAGGTACGCTGGACGAGTTATGGAAGAGAAAAAGGGATGAATTAGAAAAGAGTGGGGGGGAGGAGGGAGACATTTTTAAGAAAAGCAGATTAACGCAGAGATCGCCAGGAAAGGAGGGAGGAAAGGTGGAAACAGAGCAAGAGGAAGAGGAAGGGAAGCAAGAGGAAAGCAACAGTGTAGAGGAGTACTTCGAAAGGATAATGGAGAAGATGAAAGAGAGCTTAATCAAGGAGCAAGAGAAAATGATAGAAGGAATAATAAAAGATATAAGAAAAGAATTTAGAGGAATAAGGAATGAATGGAAGGAAGAAAAACAAGAGCTAAGGAAAGAAATGGAAAAGATGAAAGAGAGGATAGAAAAACTGGAGCAGGAAAGAGGCAAGGAGGAGGAGGTAGGGAGGAGAGAGAGAGGGAGAGAGAAAGAAGAGAGTATAAGAAATAAAATGTTAGAGATGGAAAAAAGAATGGAAAATAAAGAAAGAGAAGAGAAAAGGAGGAATGTGGTAATGAGAGGAGTGGAAGTAAGAGAGGGTAAAAGAAGGGAGGCAGTGGAGGAAGTTATGAAAATAATAGGAGCGAAGGCGGAGATAAAGGAGGTAAGGAGAATAGGGGAGAGGAGGGAAGAAGGAAGAGAGATGCTACTGGTGAAGCTAGAAAACGAGGAGCAAAAATGGGATATTATGGAGAAGAAGAGAAATTTGAGAGGAAGGCCGGAAAGAATCTCGGAGGATTTAACATGGAAGGAGAGGAAAATCAAATGGAAACTGGGAGAGATAGCAAGAGGAGAAGAGGAAAAAGGCAGAAAGGCATGGATAAAAGGAGGGAGAATAAGAATAGAAGGGAAATGATGGAGGTGGGATGA